ACTTGATAGGTAAGAAAATATACTAAAAGTAGAGACAAAATTTTGGCTCTCGCTGTGCCTTTGAATGCTTAATTATAATTGCGCATTCGACCACATCCTTCATTCGCCTTTCTCTCACGAATAGCTGTACAACCTTCACCTTGATAAGAGGCAAAATCTGCCGGAACACAGAGTTTCTGGCATGCAAGAGATGACACCTCGAGTGTCCGGCCACACGTCAGCCTTTATGCAATGGACGACTACCTGTGAGGTTTCCGAGGACGGTGTGGCAAAGAGACACGCGACTGCCAACCCTCGCATGCAGATTCCTAAGAGAGTGCAGGGACGTTATAGGCTCTCTTTGCCCGTTGCATTCTATGGCGATGCCTTCTATCAGAAGCACAACTCGGACCAAGTCAACACGAGTGTGGGTGTAAGACTCCAAGCTGTAACATTTGGTAGTCCACACGATGGGTTCTATACGGCGACAAATTTCGTTCGATGGTAATTTTACAAGTGGTTTTTTAACCGTCCCCCAAAGTCAACTTTTGCTGGAGGGTTAAGCACGACTGTGATTTCTTAAAGGTGCAAAGGCAAATCAACCCATTTGCTGTGCACTTTACAATCATCTCCCCCACCCACACCACCTCATTAAAAGTGCTTGGTTAGGGAAAGAATCCTCTCTGTTTCGCACAATTCAGCTTGCCGCCATGGCATTAATGAAGAATTGGCCAATTGAGGAAATCAAATGGTTTGCAATCCGCCTTTAATTTTACTTTAAAGTTTTAAAGCATTGTAATTGCACAATTCTCCATCCTTTACACCGATTCCGATTGCCGAGTAGTTTCATTTCCTATGCACCACCAGAGGTCAAATTAACCTAGGAAGTTTTAGCTTTATTTTTTTGGATTTGTGATCTCTTGGGTCGAAGTAGATAATTCAACTGACCCGAACCCACAGCTTTCACTGTTTTCTTTCGAGGTTCTACACTCTAAGTTAAGTTTTCGATTGGGACAGAATGTCTGGGCAGCAAAGCCAAGATTACCACATTTTAATTGCCAAATTTTGGGATGCAGAATGAGTATTTTTTTAGAGAAGATCGCATAATTTTATTTGGTATTTCCACTTTTCAACGGAAGCAGGGACAGGCAATTGAAATGACTATGCTCTTAAGGTCATTGCCAAGTTCACAAGATTACAAGTTCTGATAATCACTTTAAGAGCTTTTCAAATGTGTAACTAATCTGCAACTATGTGTATTCCTTTAACACGGTTTCAAAGTCTGCTTTCAACATCGCTCTCAGCCTATGCTGAAGACAAGATCTCCGAATTTTTTTTCTGAAACAAAGATTTGAAGTGCGCAAATGATCATAAAATCGGCGTGCGGGGTTGGGTCAAAGTCAGGTAAAATCCTAATTCTTCTATTTTGCCCTTTTCATTTGAGGCGAGGTATTCTGAGTATGGGAGATCCTGTGGAACCA